AAATGGCCTAGGAGTTCTGTAAAACCATCTGGAAATTTCTAATTAACTTAGTTAACTTAGACTTATGTTTGAACAAGCTCCTACAGCATATTTTCCTAGAAAAATGGATATTTAATGCTCACACAAAGAATGACTTCATATGGATGTCCATAGCAGATTTATTTGTAACAGTGAAAAACTGAAGGCAAACTAAATGTCCTTCAATAAGTACATGGATAAAAGACGATGGTCCAGAGAATGGAATACTACACAACAAGAAGAAAGAACACACAAGCACAAAGTGATACCTGCTATCACTTGGATCAATCTTAAGATCACAATGCTGAGTAAAAACAAACAACAACACAGAATAACCTTAAAGGTCAACATTATTTACATAAAATTCTTCAAAGGATAAAATTTTCTAGTATATGTGTTTTTGTGTTAGCTGCAGTCTTCCGCTGCTAGCTTGAATTTGAATACATTTGAAATGTCTGCTTGTTCTTTTGAGATATTTGCAGGCTACAATAACTTAGATTTTACTTATGCGTACAACTTCTACTTTTGGTGAAAATGGAGTAACAGGGACAAGATTCACCCATTGCCTGAAACGATTAAAAAAAATCAGACAAAAAGCGTGACTCTAATATTCACTACATTGGAAAACTGACTACGAAAGCCAGTGATTGCTGACAGATGGAAAACAAATTGCCACAGCTTGCTGCCTGGGTCCAGGCAGACAGTGAGTCGTGTCTGAGTTGATGAGATAAAGGTGAGAATCTTGGGGGAGAACTAGGGAGCTAGAATTTATAATAAAGACTATCAAAGAGGAGCGAGCTCAACAGAAAAGGAACCGTGGACCCAGCACCGGGTTAGGAGAACTGCCTGTTAAAGTGAGAAAACAAATCAAGCTCTGGGGATCAGCGAGAGTATTCGGAAATGTTTTGTCTCAGTAGTGACATGTGATTAGTAAATGCAGCTCTGGTCCTAAGTACCAAAATATGAAAGCAAGAACTGAAAACATGAATTTGATTGTGTGTAATGAAATGACATTATAGGACATAACTTGAAAATACTTGAAATTTCAAATGTATTAAACATTGTAAAATATACATTTGTTCTGGACAAGTGTGAACAAGGTAATATCACTAGTGCACAATATCTGACATTCAAATATTATCAGGCATACAAAGAAGCAGGAACATGTAACCAATCAGTAGGATAACAACAAAATAGTTTATCAAAACTGATATGAATCTGATACAGAATATAGAATGTGTAGACAAGGACATCAACAACAGTTATTACAGCTATATTTGATATATACCAGAAACAAGAAGAAAGTAAAAATGGATTAATATACAGAAATTAGGAAAAGACCCTGCATAAACCTGAAGAGGTGAAAACTATAATGTCTGAAATATAAGTGTACATTGTTTGGGGATATTAAAATAAAAAAAGACAACTGAATCCAAGTGTATGAAAAATATCACAATGTATTTTTATAGTTACATCTATGTGTGGGCAAAAACTAGAATCAGCTTTAAAATAATATATACCAAATACTAATTGTGTTCACCTTTGAGGACTGGGCAGAATCTGCTCAGTATTGGGGGAGTTTTTTTGCAATAAAAATATATGTACTTTTTCTTACTAACCCAAATATTACAGTAGACATAACACTACTATGTGAGCATTGCTTCTAAACACAGACACACATCGAGTTTTCAAAATGATGCTGTAAAGTATCAGTAGAAAGGTTTTGCCTTCTTCACTCTGCACTGACCTGTGTAATAAATTCTGAAATCTTATTGGGAGCACAATTTTCTTGTTCCTATTGGTACCTGGTCAAATTCTGTTAATTTCTGCCTCCTTCGAGGTGAAGGGACATCTTGACACTCCTAAGGTGTTGTTAGCACAAGGGAAAACCAAGATTTTCTCCTAGGTCAAGCAGTGATGCAGAAAGCAGTAAGAGGATTTTGTTATTTCTATCATTACAAACAAGGTGTAGCTTGGATATCAATAAACATTTTTTACCTCCTGGAAGGACTATAGGGATTTTAGGAAATTAATGCCCAGTAAGGTCTGCTATGCAATGATTTCCATGGTCTTTGATCTCTTCTCAAATTTGCAGCAACATGGATGGAGCTGGAAGGGATCATGCTCAGCGAAATAAGCCAGAAAGAAATAGAAAAATGCCGGATGGTCTCACTCATAGCAGGAATTTAGAAAACCTAAATAAGGGACCAGGAAAAAGACTAATTGTAATAAAGTAAAAATCAAAATCAATAGGAAACTATAGACCAGAGACACACTACGGGTTGTGGGGGCAGGAGAAGAGGGATTAGGGTCAGGATAAGGGGTGTGGGAATTGTATGGGGAATATAACCAAAATGAAAATGCATACATTGTGCAAAAAATAAAAATGATGCAAGATTTATATAAAATTAAATAATTTAAAATGAAAAAATATTTTATTGCTTTAAAAATAAAAAAAAAATGTCAATTTTGAGGGAGCCTTTGGTTATTAACCACATAGGTAAGCCCACACCTCAGTAAGATCAGTGGCCAACCTCAAAAACAAAAAGGCTCATTAAAATTCTATTGCAAATTAGTAGATTCCATGACAAATCAGAATATTCTCACCAGATCTTCAGGAATAAATTTTGAGACTGTGGTGGGTGACCAGGGCTAGATTTCAACATCAAGATTACCTTTTATGTGGAACAGGATGTTGCTGTTAATAGACTTACACAGTGAAGCATGTGACCACCAGGGAGATGGAATGCAGTAAGTCAGGGGGAGGACAGATGATTTTTGCCCTTTCAGTTCCACTGGGAACTAAATGAGCTTTTGGAGGAGCCGTGAAATGATGGTCCACAAGTCAGGTTCCAGTCTGGACAAGAGGGCTACTAGAGATGACCCAGGGAAGGCCTCTGTCACGCATAGAGGTGAGCTGAACATAAATGTCAGCCCACAGGCAGGAGTCAGCTCTCAAGAAACCAGGGTCTATGAATAGAAGATGTTAAGTACATGAAACCTACAAAAAATCCTGAAATTGTGCTTATTTCAATCTTTCTTTTTTAAAACTTGCATTGAGTTCCTGGCTGCAACATTCTTCTTTATATTCTATGAGACATTAAGGATTAGGAGGAAGAAAAATAAATTTAGAGATAGAAGGGCTGGCTCGTACTGGGAAGAGTGGAAGAGAGTGAACTCTACTTTATTTTTTTTTTTTATTATTTTTTCCTAATCCCTTTAAATAATGTGTCTTTAAACAGAAGCACACATACAAGGTTCTGCATTTGTCGGCTGATGAAAATGCTGTTGCCAGTCATGCATAAACCAAATCCTGTATTTTTCCTAAGAGCAATGACTCAATGTTTGCAAGGTCAGTGTTGTCAAGCAATTCTGTAGGCAACTACAGAAAATAATGAGAATTAACTATATATGTCTCTTAGGCCTGTTCCTATTGATCTTCAACTCTTCCATCTCCTCATTGATCTCTGTATAGCTATTCTATTAAAAATGGCAGTGAAATCAACTATTATAGAGCTGGTGAACTCTACTTTAATTCAGAGCAGAGAGCTAGTTCCAGCTCTTGCACATACTAAGACATGTGGTATTGGGGACTACAAGGCCTGGAGCCTGAGCATCTTCATACATGAATGTAGTTTGAAAATGCCCCTCTTCTAGGACTGTTCGATGTGTATGAATTATATAAAACACATAGTCAGTGCCTGGTATAGTTTAAAAATTCATTGAATGAAAGTTTTGCTCTGAATGTTGATTCAAAATACTATCATCCTAACCTTGGTTTGTGCATGTTTGTATATATCAGAGTTTTCTAAATCGAGGCTTTCATAGAAAACATAAAGTGCTACAGGACACATCATAGCAAATCCCATGTTATGTTAAATATCTAAGCAGGTAATACTGGAATATTTGTTCGAGGAGTTTGGATGAATGTAATTTACATCTCCCAGAATTTGAGTTAAGGACCAAGTCTTTGTCTCCCTCCTAGCTGTCTTTTGTAGGGGTTCACAATAGGTCCCTGCAATATATTCTACATTAGTATATTATTTTGGTCTGCATGTGTAGAAGGTATAAATCCTTCCTGTTCTGGTCACTCTTTTAAGACTCATATCTTTGTGCAGATCTAGTGCGAGGTAATCAAATGTTTTTTTTTTCCTTTTTATTATGGGGATAGGAGGCTCAGCCAGTATGAGTAGAGGGAATATTTTTTCGCTCTTTGACATCTTTCATTCAGTTTTCCACAATATTTCCATTTTTTTCATAAGCACCATAAAGACAGCCTCCTCTTATTGTTTGAAAATTATACTGAAGTTAGCCTAATTAAATTTTCTGTTAATGAAATGGGATCTGGCTCTCCTAGGCCATGATAGAGTGTCAACCTAATAATGTTTGGGTATCTAATCTCCAGTGAGTATTATCTATATTTCTAGAACTTTCTTAGCGATGATGTATAAAAATCACTAGGTTTGTGCACTGTGTTTAACTGCACTGGGTAAAATGCTGGTTACCTTCTATCCATTCTAGGTGAGAATTTCACTGTGGTTTAGTGGTACAAAAGTAACAGCTAATAGCAGTTTTCTGCTCCAGGCTTTTGGGTTTCAACTGTAAGACACACTATTTGAGTCTGGTCCATGTTCTCTATGCCCTCAGCTGCTTCTGGCCCACCATCCAGTTTAAAGTAAAATTAACTCCAACTGAAGCACTAGAAGTTTCCAAAGCCACACAATGGCCACGCCTAAGTGCATTAACATTGCCATTCTCATGGACCACCCACCTATAACTACTGACACCATCTTTTGCCTTGGCCTAAATGTATTTGACAGTCCCAACATTGTCTTTATAGGATTATTTTTCCTATAGAGTGAAATTTTGTAGGCAGGTCCTGAGTTCTTCACACCAGCAATTCCATCACTGGTATAGCGCTTTCCAAAATGAGGGGTTCAATTACAGTTAGGAGACTAAACTAGCCAATGAGAATGCGGTGTCATTTTTTAAGATTTATTTCTCATACATTGCTGAACAAGACAAGTATTGCAGGTATGTATCATTTATTTATAAGGAATAAGGACAAAGGGAATGGAAAGGGAAGATTTTACTATCTTTCATATTCCTTTACTCTTCCCTTTTGATGTAAAAGGAAAGTTTCCTTTATTTTCCTCTTTTGATGTAAAAGGAAAGTTCTTCCACATTTCCATAAAATGCTTATGGCGATATTGTTATCTTGTTCCAGATGACAAAACAAGATGTGTGTTTCACAATTTCTTCTACAAAGCAACAAAGCTCTATTTAACCTCATTGTAGCATTATATATGTGAACAATATCATCCACCAAACCTAGAGATCTTAAAATTAATGAAATCCATATTAAAGGAAGCAATATTTGAATAATACATAGATGAAAGAAATATCAACTTACACATACGAAATAGGAACACATAGGCATGTTCATTATGTTCCTTTCATCCAAACCTAAGACATAAATTATATGAACTCCGTGTCGTCAAACAATGCACGGAGTAACTATCCCTTGCTTTGCTAAGTTTGGGAGGAATTGTTAGATGTGGCAGTAGCCACATAAGGAGAATCAGCCCCGACTCTCATTTCTTCATCCTGCAAAGCCTCCTCATAATGGGATGCAAAAGAACGTGGATCAGTGTTATTAACCCTGGCAAGAAACTGAAGAACTTTCATTTTCGTGGTTTCAGCATGGGCACGTGGGCCCCACAGGAATTCAAACTGAGGAGGATCACTATTCTCCACTTGTTGGTATACCAGATAGTTTTCCTTCACAAAATTTCTGGTGATAAGGTTTTTGGGTTCTCCGAAAATGAAGTGCTTCACCCCGGGGTAAATGTCCATCAAACTGAGAAATTTCCAGAGTTCTTCTTCAGTGGCCCGGTTTCCCTTCATGAAGATTACTCCAAGGACAACAATCAGGATGCCAGTCTTGGGTAGACCATCATCACCACTCAGCATCCCATCATAGGTGAGACCCAGTTTGATGAGCAGTCCATAGTGGTGGTTGATTGGATCCACTTCCTGCACATCAAGGCCAAAGATCATCTCCATGCACTCAGAAGCTCTCTTCAGGATCTCAGGTAAATGGTCTTCATATCCAGGGATGACTATCTTCAACATATCTTCCTTGGTAATAGGCTCTTTTGTTTGATATTTGAGCAGTAGGAAACTCACAACCCTTGCTACTTTCTCATCTAGATCAACTATGGGCACATTCTTGGTGTCAGGTGCAGCCTGTGAGGAATTTGGGTGCTCCTCCTCTTGGGCGCTCCAACCCTCATTTGATTTGCTTGATGAGGTGGGCATGATGGCAAAGGCAGAGGAGAAGCCAAAATGCTGATGAAACACAGGAATATTGGCTGTCCCAGCTTCAGGAGCCTCCTTTGAATTGGCAGGTATTAGAGAGTTGGAGAAGGCAGGGGTCTCCTCCTGACACCTGGAGACCTGTACAACCTCTAGGCCCTGGGTATTACTATTGGCCTGAAGGTGTTGGTCATGTGAGCATTGTGGGTTGTCCTTATGCTGAGACATGATGGATCTAGTTGGTGACAGTAGCAGGAGTATGAATGATAAAGCTGGTATTGAGGAATCACTGCCAAAGAGGAAGAGGTCAGATGTGAATGGTTTCAGTCAACTATGGCAGCTCTGACAAAAGTCATCTCCAAAGGACTTCTCCTGATAACAGTGCCATAGGAAGGGCCTCACAGGTCTTCTAACTTCCAGGATGCTATGTGGCCCAATAATATGAATGAGAAAGCCTGAATACTCCTCAAGGTCCAGTCAGTCAACCCAGGCTGAGAATTCTCAGTGAACACAATAGAGCCAATTCTATTCTGTGGAATGTGTTGCCATAAATTCTCATTTGCATTCATTATTTTGGTATCAGATAGGCCTGGCATCCTTCCTATACTAATATGAGGCTGTCCCCTTAAAACGAAAGTCACATATCTTAAGACAACTGAGCATGAACTATGGAGAGACCTCCTCCAAAACCCTCCCTGGTTTCCCAGCATCAGTTACTGGGAACCCTCTCTTGACTAATGTTTAGGATCATGAATTTTCTATTAAAAAATGAAATCTTGTCATTTGTGCCAATTTGGATGGAAAGAGAGGATACCATGTTAAATGAAAAAAAAAGTTAGATGGACAAAGATAAATATTGTGTGACTTCACTCAGATGCAGGAGACAGAGAAACAAAACAAAAGAAATAAAAAAAAAATCTTTTGCATTAAAAGCAAAACTGGTTCTTACCTGAAGAGAAGCAGGAGTGGAATGGGTAAAGCAGGTGCACTTGGTATACTGTATGGTATTGGATGGAAACTAGACCTTTGGTGGGGTCATAAAAGATGTGTTGATGTTGAATTTTAATACTGTATATCAGAAACCTATATAGTAATACAAACCAATGTTAACTATTTTTTTTTTTTTAGAAAAGTGGTAAAAAGGTGGGGCATGAAAGAAGTTCAGGGTGACCCTATGTTTTGGAATGTGTGGTTTAGATGGTATTGTTCTGGGGTTTTCATTTGAAGCCTGACGTGACTTAGGACTTGTTCCTTCCACCTGAGTGAGTTTGTTCACAATAGTCTCACATTAAGTGAGCATTATGGTGGAGAGACTGTACGTCTCATCTTACCTGTGCTGGGGATCTCCTGTTACCTGTGATCCTTGGCCCCTCTCTTATGTGGTAAATTGCCCTTTACACATAACTCAACGACATCTTCCAGGGCCCAGGACTTGTGATGACTTAGAATATTCTATTTAGAAGAGAGTCTTCACTTTCCTGAGACCCATCTCATCATTTTTATTTTTTTATAATTTTATTTTAATTTTTTAAAAGAATTATTTATTTATTTATACAAGCACTGGGTACAGTCAGAAGTGTAGGAGAGTGAGAGAATTCGCCAGAGCCAGAGAGGGGAGCAGAGCAGGCAGAAGGACCAAAGTACACTGCTGAGGGGAGCAGCGGGCGGCAGGAGAGGTCTGCGCGCCATGTGGGACCCTCCTCCGGTGGCCGGGGAGCAGCCAGGGATCGAAACAGCACTGCAGAGGCTGCGGGCAGCTTCGCAACCCAGTGCTCAACTGCTGCGCCACCGGGGAGGCCCAATCTCATCATTTTTAATAGAAAATTCAAGACACTAAACTACTGTCAGTTCTATAGTCTCTTAAACGTGCCCTACCTCCCCCATCCTCTATCTCCACACCCACACCAATCCCTCACGTCAATCAGAGGAATTGTGGTAGATTAGTCTGAGCATAATTTATTAGTCAAGAGAGGAATCCCAACTCACTGAAGCTTGGAAACCACCTCAGAAAATGAGGTGTCTTCTCTGCCTGCCATTCCTTGCCTGATCTCTCAGGACTGACAAAACTCAGAGGACTATATTGTACCCACTGCCCCATCAGTTGGGTAGAACCATAATCCTTACCAGCAGTCCTGAAATCATAGTCATTGGTAATATGTCTGCTGCCTGAAGCCCCACCACCCAGATAAGGCCCCATCTCTCTAAGACATTGAATAAGAAGTAGGAGACACTGTGCACAGGGCATATAGGTCTGATAAAATGAACTATACAATGTCCTGGGAGTGTGGAACCCCCAAAATTCACTTGGGGTTTTCATCAGGATTCCTGCAGAGCCTGAGAGGCCTTCCTTTACTGACATGACATGGTTACTTCAGACTAAGGTTTCATTTCTCTCAGATTCCTGCAGTAGAGCCTGTAAGCAACATTTCTCAACACCATTGCTAGGGCCTCAGAGAGTTGACTGGCTGATACTCAGGGAGTCTGCCACTGACCTGGTTTGGGTGTCCCCTCAGTATTCTTTCAGGGGACTTTAAGTAACTATTGTCAAATCTGTAGTCTCTTAAACATGCCCTACCTTCCCCACCCTCTATCCCCACACCAACCACACCAATCCCTCACCTCAATCAGAGGAATTGTAGATTAGTCTGAGCATAATTTATTGGGGTCTCCCAGGGTTGGGTTGGGCTCTTATCTAGGGTGCCATCCCCTCTTTTTTCTGTAAAAGGTCTCCTCAGCCCTCATTTAGTCTTACCTGACTCCTGGTAGCACCTGTGAGTGACTCCCAAATGTGCCTAGTTGACACCCCATTTCAAAGCAAAGTCCTTTTTGCCATCACAATGGGGAATATACATCATGGGGCATGTCATCAAGTGATGTTGCCTGGGTCTCCTGTTGTCACCCAGGAGCAGGGGTGGGGCTCCTCACCCATGGCTCAGTTCCCAGTGAGAGTTACTGGTGTTCCCACTTTATACTCCTCACACAGATTCCACCAGGTCCTGATATTAATCTCTCTACTATGCCGAGGTTGCACCCTTCTTGCTAGTGTCCTCAAATCTTAACAATCCTGAATAAAGATGTGGGCTGCCTCAGTAATGGAGGTTGACCCAGGACCTTTTAGGGTGAAAGTAGATGTGGGCCCTTCTATGCGAGTCTCCATTAGTTTGTTACTCTTTTCCTCAGTTCTCATTCCCAGGGCATCTCTTCTCGGTTCCTTTCTCTTTGATTTAAGACTTCTTGGACATGCCCATCTCAGCCAATTTTTTTTTTTAATTTTATGCGTCTAATGATTTTTTTTAAAGATTTATTTATATATGCATACAAGAGCTTGGGTATAGGCCAGAGATGCGGGGAGGGGGGGGATCCACCAGAGACAGAGCGGGGAACAGAACAGGCAGACTGACTGAAATACACTGCTGAGGGGAGCAGCGGGCGAGACAGGAGAGGTCTGCTGCGCCATGTGGGTAGCTCCGTGGCCAGCCGGGGATCGAACTTGAGCTGCAGAGACTGCGGATTGCGTCATAGTGCAATGCTTAACCACTTGTGCCACCAGGGAGGCCTCAGTCAATTCTTGACATGTCTAATAATTGCAAATCTTGCAGAGTTTGGATTGAGTCATGTCCAGTCTTCATGTGACATGTGGTATTTGTAGCATAAGGCCAGCAGTGGTAGGATGGGAAAATTATCAGACAAAACTCATGATGATCTATTCCTTCATTTGGCAGTCATACTTAGAGCCTTGTATAAATTGTGCTAAAAAAATTTTACTTTATACAAAGAAAGACTGAGAAGAAAGAATTTGAAAGCCCTGGTTTTTGAAAATCAGAAACTGCATATTCAGAAATCATATGCAGATGGTGAGTAGATATCAGACTTCTGGCTGCACCTATGACTGCTTTTTTTCATACCTCTCATTTATTTTGCTCTCTCATTGCTATGGTTATTTTCAAGCCCAGCTTGTAAAAGTGGTGTGTACTTGGCTCAAATAATTTTTCATGGTGTCTCCTCATCTATCTAGTTTTTGCATCAAGGCATGCTAGTTTGTTAAAATGTATGGAGCAATTTCAAATCTGTGTGATTTGGGAAAGCTTACATAAGATGCCAATTAAATTTTGTCTGATTATATGCTACAACTGGCTTCCAAACCTGATCTGGCCTAGGTGTCTTGGCCTAAAGTTTGGGTTGTAATTGCTGATTAAATTTACACTTTCTAATGAACCTATTTTGCAATTTATATTTTGCTAAAAGAGAGCTTCTCATTTCGGTATTTCAATTTAAAACTATGATATTTAAATCATTTTATAAACATTACTAGACATATAATCCAGTATACTGAACACTACATAATTTATAGTCAGCATAACAATCAATTTATAAGTAAAAGCCTATTCAGATTATCATTGTTTTTGGTCAATATGTTTGCATTTGGCAAGCTTATTCCAGAAGTGTCGCTAAACAATTTTGCTAGGAGATATGTAATGTATGTGTCTTCTTTTACGCTGATGTGGCACTCCGTGTTATGGCTGTTAACTATTCTCCATTATGGGCTATTGAATGGTTATTCTCTCATTCTAACATTTGTGCTTAATTTATTTATTTTTAAAAAAGATTTATTTATGCATACAAGAACTGGGGTATAGGCCAGAGGTTTGGGGGGGGGGTGAGAGGATTCACCAGAGACAGAGTCGAGAACAAAACAGGCAGACTGACTGAAATACAATGCTGAGGGAAGCAGTGGGTGAGTCAGGAGAGGTCGGCTGCGCCATGTGGGTAGCTCCCTGGCGGGCCCGGGGATCAAACTCATGCTGCAGAGGCTGTGGATAGCTTCACAGTGCTGTGGTTAACCCCCTTGCACCACCAGGGAACCCCTGTGATTAATTTATTAACAGAAAGTCTTCTCTAGGAAGAAATTTTTCTTGTCTCTTTGTTTATACTGTTGTTTTCTTACAACATATTTCTAGCATTTTATGATAATATTTTAATCTCTGTACCTGTATTTACAGTATTTAAATCTCTGTACCTGTATTTTATACATTATTTAATTATACATTATTACCACATTTGTTCCTTTTAGAATACTTCTGAAATTATTTGTTATACTACCTTTCTAAGAATACTTTAAAACTGATAATCCTTATGAAATTATGTGTTATATTTATCTAAGAATTGGCTTTAGTGGGTTCTTTATTATCTTCTATTATCTCTATTATCTACTTTATTTATATTTATCTCCCTAATTTCTTACCTTCTACTTCTTTGCTTTTTAAGTTCTATTCCTTATCTAGTATTTTTAAATGTTTGAATATATCAAATATATACATTGTTCCATAAATTGGTTTAAAGCTGCATTATCCCACTGAATAACAGTTGATATGCTTCATATAGTTGGTCCTGTAGAGCATATTACTTACACTGTTAACATTTTTGCAACATATGTAAACAAATTGAGTTTGGGAAATTATTTTGAGAAAACTCTAAAGGGGAAGAGAAAGACTGATTTTTATTTACATGTGGTTTCATGGTATAGAGATATTTTGTTTTGCTTACTAATAATAGAGTAGACACAAAAACTAGTGAGAAAGCAGGCTGGTGACAGAGTTCAGTTTTCTTTGGGAATTTAAGGACAATAAAACAATAGAAAAAGGCAGTTGTCAGGAGAAGATATAATAATTGAAGCAGAAACCACCGATAATTATCAGAATGTGAAAAATTATGGACTGTCACACCCTCCTGGGGTTTAATCTTATTCTGTTAGTTCCTATAGGCTGAACTGGGTTCTTATCTAGATGTTGGCAAGCCTAGAAATTGGGAGTATGATCCTGTATAATATTGTACAGAGCAGAATAAGGGGGAAGAACAGATCTGAAGATAAATAGGACAAGGACAAGCACACTATATTAACAAACCAAATGACAAAAGTCATATTGAAGTTGTTATAGAAAAGTATGTCATAAAAATAATCGACACTCAGATTACCAAAAATGGAGCTACCATATGACCCAGCAATCCCACTCCTTGAATCTACCTAATGGACACAAAAACATTAATTCAAAAGGATATCTGCACCCCTATGTTTACTGAAGCGTTATTTATAATAGCTAAGATATGGAAACAACCTAAATGCCCAGAAACAGATGACTGGATCGAGAAGATGTGGTATCAAAAAAAAAAAAAAAAAAAAAAAAAGGTGTGGTATATATACACAATGGAATACTACTCAGTGATCAAAAAAGATAAACTCATGCCATTTGTGGCAACATGTATGGAGCTGGAAGGGATTATGCTCAGTGAAATAAATCAGAAGGAAAAAGAAAAATATCGGATGGTTTCACTAAAAGGAGGAATAGAGGGAAACTGAAAAAGAGGTCTTAAAAAATGACAAAACTAGGGCCTCCCCAGTGGCGCAGCATTTGAGTGCTGGGTTGCGAAGCTGCCCGCAGCCTCTGCAGCGCCGGTTCGATCCCCAGTCACCCGTGAGGGTCCCACATGGTGCGCAGGCCTCTCCTGCGGCGCCCGCTGCTCCCCTCAGCAGTGTACTTCGGTCCTTCTGCCTGTTCTGCTCCCTGCTCTGGCTCTGGTGAATTCTCTCACGCTCCCACGCTTCTGACTGTACCCAGTGCTTGTATAAATAAATAAACAAATAAGTCTTTTAAAAAAAATGACAAAACTAGCAGGCAAACTATAAATATGAGACATGGAGCAGGGGAGGGGCAGGTAAAGGGGTCAAAGCAGGGGAGGGAAGAGCACAAGAGACTATCGCGACAGTTCCACAGGTAATGTGGGGATTACACCTAAAGAGAGAATTTAAGACACTGTACAAAAAGAGCTCAATAGCATGCAACTATTAGAATTTTTGTCCTCTTCTCAATATTAAAGGAGGCCAAATTTTCTTGCAATTCCTTAACATTTTCAGATCCTGCTATGAGCGTGTTGCTTCCAAAGACAAACTCCCATGAATTTTTTCAAAGGATCCAGTTAAATATTATCAAAAAGGTTTTTTCTTCACTCGTTACCTTTCTGTACTGACTTATGCAATAACTTGTAAATTCTTAATTGGATTACAATTTTCTTATTCCTATTAGTGTCTAGCCAAAATTTGCGAATTTTTGTGACCTTCTAAATGAACGAATGCCCTAAACACGTCTATAGGTGCCATTTGTACAAGGCAAACAACAAAATTTTCTCCTCTGTCAAGAAGTGAGATGGTAAGCTGTAAAAGGACTTTGAATTTTTTTTTTGTTGATACCAAAGATACCTGTCTGTTGGTAAATGTTTTTCCCCTCCTGGAGGGACTCTAAGGATTTTAGTAAATTAATCCTCAAAAGTTGTTTGCTATGCAGTGATTTTTGTAGGCTTTGATCTTTTCTCAACTCTGCTTTTGAGGAAAACTTTGAATATGAACTACATAGGTAAACTTAGTGGTATATGTGTTCAGTGGCCAGTCACAAAAAAAAAAAAAAAAATCTCATTAAAATTTTATTGCAAAGATCAGAGAGGTTTCAAAATCCCATTTCCAACTTCACGGTCACAGCCCACAAATTAGTAAATTCTATGACAAATCAGACTGTACGCAGCTTATCTTTTGGAAAACATTTTAAGAATGTGGTAGAAATTCCCAAGGGGTGGTTAGGCCTTAATATCAAAGTTTTATGTTATCTTTTATTTGGAACAGGATGGTCCTATCGCAGAGGCACACCATGAGGGATTGAAGGATCACAAATCAGTTGGAAAGCTCTATATCAGGAAAAGGACAGGAGATTTTTTTATCCTTTTTGTTTTTCTGGGATCAAGATGAGCTTTCAGAGGAGTAAAGAGCTGGCCAACAAGTCAGGTCCCAGTTTGTTCAGGAAGGTACGCAGGAGAAGATCCAGTGTAAAGGCTCTATGCTGATATGGACAGAAATGGCAGCCCATATGAAGGAGTCAGCTCTCAAGGAGTAACAGGGCTATATGGACAGCATTGCCAGCCCATATGGAGTCAGCTGTCAAGGAATACACAGGGTTAGAGTAAGGTGAGTTAAGTAAATGAAGCCCACAATCTTCAGATTATGTATCTTATTCCAATGATCTTTATACTTGCTTAAAGCTCCTTGCTTTAACATCATTATTTATTTATTTAAAAAAAATTAAAAATATTTATTTATTTATACAAGAACCGGGGTACAGGCCAGACTTGTGGGAGGGTGAGAGGATTCACCAGGGACAGAAAGGGGAACAGAACAGGCAGTCTAATGAAATACACTGCTGAGGGGAGCAGTGGGAGCGACAGGAGAGGTCTGCCGCAACATGTGGGACCCTCGCAGGCTGGCCGGGTTGGAACCGGTGCTGCAGACTGTGGACAGCTTCACAGCACTGCGCTCTACCACCTGAGCCACCAGGGGAGGCCCAATATTATTATTTTAATAGCCTATGAGGTGCAGGGTGAACCTCTCCCAAAGTGATATATAAGCTTTTCTTAAAATTCTCAAAGAGGGACCTTACAATAATTTTCCAGTAATTGTCATCTTGATATGAACTAAAGGTGAGTCAAGATCTGAGTCTTATGAAAGTCCCTTGCTATTGATTAAGAAAGCTTATTACTTGAACAGCAGTTAAGACCTCAGGACGTTTTTGTCTTTTGCCCTTTTGCTCCCCTTTATGATCTACAAGAATGTAGTGGGGGGCCTCCCCTGGTGGCGCAGCAGTTGAGCGCTGGGCTGCGAAGCTGCCCGCAGCCTCTGCAGCACCCGTTTGATCCCTGGCTGCCGGCGAGGGTCCCACATGGCACGCAGACCTCTCCTGCCACACCCGCTGCTCCCCTCAGCAGTGTATTTCGTCACTCTGTCTGTTCTGCTCCCCGCTCTGGCTCTGGTGAATTCTCTCACCCTCCCCCGCTTCTGACTGCACCCAGTGCTTGTATAAATAAATAAATAAATAAATCTTAAAAAAAAAAATGTGTGTGGGGGGATATGATGAGGGCATAGGTTAATAACTGAACATATCTGAGAATTTCATCTTTACTCAGAAAGTGAAAATCGTCACCCCCCTTCTTTACCATCATTTGAAGCCTTCCCCTCTTTCTCTTTGATGCGTCTGGTCCTGAACACAGATCGAACACAGGTTGATTATCATTCTTCTTTAGAATTTACAACCATATGTATTTTCTATACCTGTTAGATTGGGTGGGAGACTTTTCCCATGGGCCCCAACACAGATAATGAGGAGTAGGAGGAAGAAAATTAAGAGAAAGACGTTCTCTCTCTGGCTGGGAAGAGTGGACTCTAGATAAATTCAAGGTAAAAGTCAAGTCCTAGCCTGTCACATATAAGGCATGTGAAACAGGCGACAATCACAAATTCTTGACCTATGTGAATTTGGTTTGAAAACTCCCTCTTCTAGGACTGTTGGATGTGTGTGAAGTATATGTAGCACACAGCATACTGCTTGGCATGCTTTAGGAATGTAGTGAGTGGAATTTATTGCTGATTGCTGATCCCAAGTGCTACCATTCTCACTTTGTGTGTGTGTGTATTTGTTTTCTAAATCTAGACTTCCTCAAAAAATATAAAGTGATATAGGACACTATAGGATAAGGCATATCAAAATAAAAAATGTTTCTCAGTAAGCAAAACTTGAGACTTTTCTCCTAAGAGCTTACATTCTTGGCATGAGGGAATGTCTGGATGTAATGCTAATTTCCCAGAATTTGTGTCAAGGCCCCACTCCTTGACTTGCTCTCAGCTGCCTTTTGTCATGGCTCAGACTATGTCACTCCAAACCATGCCACTTTGGCATATTATTTTGAATTAAAGTTACTTGAGAAACAGCCATTGCATGAAGGCTGCTCTGACTCTTCAATGTCCTTTGGAAATTATAAGGTCAATCTCCCACATGAAAGGTATTCTTCCTGTACCAGGATAGAAAGCACCTTTATCATCAGATACAGGGGATTTAGGTACAAGAAGGCTGTATAAACAAACCTTGTTCATCCTTCACCATTTTCTACTCCACACTCAAAGATCTTGACCTTGTCAATTCTTCACAAGTTTACTGTTGATATTCAAGTTAAACACATCCTGCTTTGGTTATTCCTTTGAAGTGCATATCTTCTTGAATCCTCCTATATGTGTTATTAAATTTGTTTTTCTCGTGTAGTCTTTTTTACTATGAGGGTAAGAGGTCACTGAACTTAGTAGGGTAGAGAGAAAATTGTTTTTTCCCTCCCAAAGCCTTTCATCCAACCATTGCCAAACTTTCTATTTAATTTCTTTCCACCTAAAATTTAACCGTTACCTACTGTTTGTCATATTACATTGAAAATCACCTAAATAAATTTTCCTTTGAATAAAGTGGCAGTAGCTCTTCTAGGTCATGAACTCAGTGGCTTCTGGATGCATAACATCAAGGGAGTATAATCTATCTTCGTGGAAATTTTTTTAGAGATGACATTATCACCACCAAGTTTTTTCACTGTGCGTAACTATACCAGGACAAAACTGCAGGACAACTTTTACTGTTGCTGTAGGTAAGAATTCCACTCTGTTTACTTAAGCAACAGAAGTAACAGCTGGCAACAGTTAGCCCCTCTAGGTTTTTAGGTTCAATTCTGAGACACATTACCTGGGAGTCTGGTCCCTGTTCACTATGCCCTCTGCCTCCTCTGGTCCACGATCTACTTTAATGTCAAATTAACTGAAGCACTGGAAATTTCCCAAAGCCTCATCTGCCATACTTAACTGCATTAACACTCTGATAGTATCATGGAATGTTCTGTTCACCTCTACCTACTCACACCATCTTTTTACTTGTCCATAATAGGAGACTCCACCATTGTCTTCACAGAATGACATAACCCCTATCTGGTAAAATACTATAAGCTGGAGCTCAGCCATTAATACCAGCATCCCCAGTATTAGTGCAGTGCTTACCAAACAGCAGGTGTTCAATTAAGGTTTAGGAAATAAAATACCCAGTGAGCATGAGGTGTAATTTATTAAGATTTATTTCTCAAAAAATTCTTGAAATAGCTCTGTAGTCTAAGTATATCATCATTCAACTTTACAGAACAAAGGTTTAAAGAGAGAAGAAAGCAAAGATTTGAATAGCTTCAGGATTTTCTCTTCTACTTTTCCCTACTGATTCTAACTATTTTAAAGTTGAATTCTTCCCCATTTCCAGTAAGTGCATATCGCAATACCACCTTATCTTATTCTGAATAACAAAGCAAGATACATGTTTCACAGTTTGTTTTACAAAACCACAAAGTTCCTACTATTTAACCTCACTGCAACATTACCTATAAGAACCATATCATTCTTGAATCTGGAGATACTGAAGCTAATTAAATCTAGATGGAAAGAAACAGTATTTGTATAATGACAAAAAATACAAGAAAAACATTTCAAGTTACATAAACAAAACAGGAAAACAAAGGCATATATGTTGTGTTCGACTAACCACACTTAAGATAAATTCTATGACCACTTAATTATCTCTCCAAACAACGCATGAAGAAACTACCCTTAACTTGCCTAAATGTGGGAGGAGCTGCTAAACTTGGCGCTGGCAATGGAAGGAGACACAGCCCCGGCCGAAGCACTGCCTTTGGCTCGCTCTTTTTCATCCTTCAAGGCCTCCTCATACTGAGATGGGAAAGAAGTAGGTTCAGTCCCATGAACCTTGGCCAAAAACTCCAAAACTTTCATCTTGGTGGTTTCTGCATATGCTCTTGGACCCCATAGGAATTCAGATTCTGCAGAACGGCTGTTGGCAGCTTGCTGGTACACCAGGTATTTTTCCTTCACAAAATCTTTAGTAATGAGCTTCCTTGTCTCCCCAAAGATGAAGTGCTTCACTCCAGGATAAACACCGGTGAAACTCAGAACTTCCCAGACTTCTTCTTCAGTGGCCCGGTTACCTTTCATGAAGATCACACCCAGCACAAGAATCAGGATGCCGGTCTTGGGCACACCCTCTTCACCACTCATCATCCCATCATAGGTGAGGCCCAATTTAATGAGCAGGACATAGCGGTGGTTGATGGGATCCACTTCCTGCACATCAAGGCCAAAAACCATCTCCATGCGCTCAGAGGCTCTCAGCAGGAGCTCACTGAAGCGATTTCCATATCCTCTGATGACTGTCTTCAACATTTCTTCCTTGGTTATTGGCTCTTTCACTTTATACTTGAGCAGCATGAAATTCACCAACATCGCCACTTTCTCATCTACAGCATCTATGGGCACATTTTGGGGGTCTGGCTCAGCCTGTGCGATGCTTAAAATCTGCTTCTTTTCTTGACTAGTGGCACTCTCATCTGATTTGCTTGATGAGAAACGCTGAGAACCCTCAGGAATACTGGCCATACCAATTTCAGGACCCTCTTTTGAATTCTCAGGCATTAGAGAACAGCATGAGAGAGAGGTCTCCTCCAACGACTTCATGACGTGTGCAACCTCCAGGCTCTGGGCACTACTGCCAGCCTTAGAACTTTTATCATTTGAGGATCTTGATTTCTTCTTATGCCGAGGCATGACTATAGTGGCAGTAGGCAGTAGTAGATGGGAGTGTGGGTGGGGAGACTGGCAATGGGAAATCACTGCCTAAAGGAGAGAAGGTAGATGTGAGTGACTTCAGCTAGAAAGCAAATGGTGGCAGTTCTGATAAAAAGCCATCTCTAATAGAATTCTGACAACCATGCTATAGAGCTTCACATGTCTTCTGACCTCTTGATTGCTTTGTCCCCCAAGAATATGAAAGAAGCATCCTGAATGCTTCTCAGGCAGCACTAAGTCAGCCCAGGTTAAGAATTCTCTAGGATCACAGTAGGTAGTTGTGGTTGGGCCCCATACAGCCATTTCTATTCTGAACTGCGTGGTTTCTTCTTCTCTTGGTTCCATTATCTTAGCATTAGACTTGCCTGGGATCCCTCCCTATGCTAATATGAGGTTGCCCCCCTAAGAATGAAGTCACATCTTCTAAGAAAACTGAGCAGGGAATATGGAGGTAGCTCCTGAAACCCTCCCTGGGTTTCTCAGAGTTGATAGTATAAACTACATTCTGTGCACACCATCCTGGTGGTAGATATCTCCCTACTTCTCACTCAGTTGTCTTACTTCATTATTTTTTTAGATATATTTTTATTTATGCCTACAGGAACTGGGGTATAGGCCTCAGTTGTCTTACTTTAAATCCAAGTCAGTCCTGGGATCTCTTCTTTTGATGACTAACACTGCCCCTCAGAACGAAGTCTTTACCTCCTGATCAGAAAGTGGGTCACATCCAATGGACAGTCTCACCTCTCAGCACTGACAAGAGTTTATGGCTAGACTCCTTCGACTGCTGGAGTGGGCTGTCCTTCATTACTCACTCATGGTCGTTTCATTTGCTGCTAGTGGCATCTCACATCTGACCACCCTAATATCTGATACTGACCCCCTATACAAGATTCCCTTATTTTCCTGAGTCACCTGAGAAAGAAGAGTAAGGACACCATCTGCCTTTGTTGGGGCTTCTTTGAGACAATAGAAGTAGCTGATACTCTGGATCTCCCTCTGTTCTGGTGTGGGTAGACCTCTTTGACCCCACTCAGGCTCTTTACTGGACTATTAACAGGCACTGGATTCCTTCCTCTGCTGACCTACTGTGACATGGTTTACATAACAAAGCACCTAAATTAACTGGAAGCCCTAAGAGGGGAAGAATAGACAACTTGTCATGTGATCCTTGCCCTTGGGATCCAGAGACAAATACCAGATGGTTTCATTCACATGTAGAATATGAAAAGTAAAGCAAAGTAACAAATAAAAATAAACCAAAACAAACCTTAGAAATATGACTGCAGGGCTGAGGCTCCCTGAAGGGGAGGGGGGGGCTGGGAGTAAAGAGGGAAGGGGCCCAATGGACTGCGGTGTAAGATTATTGTTTCTTTGGAGGTAGGTGTGCTATGATAACATAAATGTCTAGAGGTGTGAGCCTGTATGCCTATGTTTATTTTTTAAATTGTTTACTGAGGTTAATTTCACTTATAGGAGGAAGGGACCCAAATAAGGGATCAGGAAAAAAAAAAGTAATTATAATAAATTAAAAATCAAAATCAACAGGTAACCATAAATCAGACATTCTTCAGCAGAGCAGAAAGGAAAGGGATCAAAACAGGGGAGGGAAGAGCGCAAGGGACTATGGTGATGGTGCACGAGTGAATGGGTGGTGGGAATTTCACGAAGACTCCGCCTGCGAGGAGAAAGCATGCACTATACAAAAATGAAGATGTAAAATATATTTAAACTACTAAAAACAAAAAACAAAACATAGGTACCGGGGTCTTTTATGATCTTACATTCCACAGTAAATAATGCCATGGCATGGTAGTAGAGGGAAACCAGATCTTTGGCGATGATCATAATGTAATCAACACACAGATACTGAATTACAATGTCCTACACCTGAAAGCCACATAAACTTCAGTCCTTACTTTTGTCTCCTCCATACAGACTCCTGCAGTGTATGGTCACCCTGTCCACTGCAAATCAGAATCTATCCACTAGAGACCGACACTGCCACTCCCCAGGATCCCTTTGTATGAAGTCACCTGGTGATACTTCTGACTGTCCTCATTTAAGACTATACAGGGGATTATCACAGGGAAAGAGCAGATATCATGGAACAGTCCGCTCTTTGCTCGAAGTCTATGGCCTGGATCTCGGCAGTGTGTGAGACAGTCCCCTCTGTTGACCTGCTGTTGCTCCGTCACTCTAAAGACTTTAAGTCCCTGTAACCAGTGAGGACAATTACTGTGGTGCTATATCTAGAATTTCCAGTGACAGCAGGACAAGCCTCTGTTGAGATCATTCTTTTCTGGAGTGGGCGCCCCATTTTAACTTCAGTTAGTTAGGGTCCTTCCCTTGACTAATGGTAGGAACTGGGATCTGCTATTAAAAATAATATGAAATGTTGTCACTTGTGACAATATAGACAGACCAGGAGGATATCACATGAAGTGAAAAAAGCCAGAGGAGAAAACAATACCATATAACTTCACTCAGATTTGTAAGAAAAACAAAGGAACAAATGAAATAAAAACAATCTCTTAGATTATGAGAACAAAATGGTGATTATTAGATGGGCGGGAGGTTGAAGAGGATCATAAATCAGTTAAATAATGTCATGGTATAGAGGTGGAGGGAAACCAGATTTTTGGAGAGGATCATAATGTAATAAATACACAGATATTGAATACAGTGCTGTACACCTGAAAGCCACATAAACCTATAGTAACGTTATAAACCAAATCTACTTCAATATTTTTTTAAGTAGGAAAAAGTGGGCCAGAAAAGAAACTGATGGTGATACTATGTTCTGGAGTATGTAGCGGACAGTCTTATCTTGGCGCTGTCCATTGAAACCTGTCATGGCCTGGGAATTATCCTTTTCTTTTTTTTAAAGATTTATTTATTCATGCATACAAGAACTGGGGTGTAAGCCAGCGGTGTGTGTATGGGGGTGTGAGAGAGGATCCACCAGAGGCAGAGTGGGGAGCAGAACAGGCAGATGAACTGAAATACACTGCTGAGGAGAGCAGCCGACAAGCCAGGAGAGGTCTGCCACGCCATGTGGGTCACTTCCCCAGCAGGGGATCAAACTGCAGTGGCTGGCAGTAGCTTGATAGGTCTGCCTTTAACCCTTGCACCACCAGGCCTGGATTTATAATTTTGACCTGAGTTTCGCTGCCCACATTAAGGTCTCACATCTCAGTGAAGACCATGGAGGAGTAACTGAGTATCTCTTCTGGCCATCGTGCCCTGGAACTCTTAAGAGTTCGTGTGATGAGTTTGCCTTTCGCACATAACAAAGACACCTGCCAGAGCCTGCGACTCCTTCTGGTGACCAACATTGCATTCAGAATAAAGCTTTCACCTTTCCAGGCCCTGTCTCTGCTCCCCATCCCTTCCCTGGTCCTCTCGGGGCTAGCAAAGGGGAAGGGCTCTGTGATACTCCCGTGCATCATTTGTTGATTAGTCCCACAGTTCTCAAAAGAGTGCCTCCAATTGGTAACTGGTTGCTAGCAGACAGACTGGCATTAAGTAACGGAGGATCCACCTTGCAATCAAGACCCCACATCTCTGAAAGACCCAGAAAGGTAGTAAAGCCACTCTGCACAGTGCTCTCAGCGCTAATACTATGTCACAAGGAACTAGACACTGGGCCTCCTGGTGGTGCAGCGGTTGAGCGCTGGGTTGCGAAGCTGCCCGCAGCCTCTGCAGCGCAAGTTTGATCCCCGGCTGCTCCCCGGCCACGGGATGAGGGTCCCACATGGCGCGCAGACCTCTCCTGCCGCCCGCTGCTCCCCTCAGCAGTGTACTTCGGTCCTTCTGCCTGCTCTGCTCCCAGCTCTGAAGAATTCTCTCACCCTCCCGTGCTTCTGACTGTACCCAGTGCTTGTGTAAATAAATAAAAAAAAAAAAAAAGAAAGAAACTAGACACTACACTATGCCACAACCTGGATCTTCGGGGGTGGGTGGAATCCGAACAATTAAATCGGGGCTCTCGCCTGGATTCCTGCAGGACCCCAGACTTGCTCCTTTTCTGTCATGACACAGTTTATCTCAGACTAAAGCCTCACTCCCCTCAAACTCCAGTATCCAAACCAGCCAGCAACACATCCAGCCGCCACTGCCCCCGGAACCCCAGGGCAGGCAACCAATGAGGCGCAGTAAATTCTCCACCGATAAGGTTTCCGGGTGCCTTTTCGTGACTTCTGGCAGTTCTGGAGACTTTTACTCCCTGGCACCCGCTGCCCTCCCCCCATCCCTCACCAGGTCAGCTCGCCAGAGGAAGCGCGCGGTTCCTCCGCCTGACTGGGCAATCCCGCCGGAGCCTCCCGGCGGTGAACTGAGGTTCTTATCTAGGGGCCCGGCTTTTTTCTTTGGTGAAAGGTCTCAGTCCACTTTAAAGTCGTACCTGGTTCGCAGTAGCTCGCGTGCCGACCCCAAATGGCGTCAGAACAAAACACTCTCGGCTCTCAAAATGGCGACGAGGAAGTCAGGGGGCGTGGCATCCGGGGACCCTCCCTGGGGTCTCCTGGAGTCAACGACAGGGGCAGGGCTTGGCGCAAGGTTCTGTTTCCGGATGGAAGTGGCTGATGGTCCCAGTTCACACTTCTCACATTGGGCTCTGCCAGCTCCCAGAATTACTCCCTCTACTGAGCCAAGGTTGCATCTCTCAGTCTAAGGACCCTGAAGACTGACGCAGGGTACCTCAGGCAGAGCACGCAGCCTGGGGATTTTAGGGTAAAAGCAGATGCGGACTAGTCTCTGCGCGAGCCCCCTTATTCTTTGCGTTTCCTCCGTTCTCATGTATGGGGCTTCACTTGGCGCCTTTCTCTTTGATTTAAAACCTCCTGCATGTGCTCCAACCTAGTCAATTCCTAGGAGTTAGGAATAATGATGAGGGGTGACTCAGCCAGAGAGCCCAGCCTGGGACTTTTTAGGGTGAAAGCAGATGCTGGTTTGTCTCTGTGAGCAGTTTATTCTTAGCTGCTGGTCTCCTCAATCCTCGTTCACGGGCATCTCTTTCTGGGAAATGTTCCATCGCAGCAAATTCTTGGGGATCTTCTTACTGCAACCCTTGAGGAGTTTGGTTTGGGTGGGAGTCTCAGCTTTAAGGTAAAATGGGGCAGCCAGAGCACAATGCAGGCAGGGGTCAGGACGGGGAGTGGGTAGTCTGAGAAAAATCACACTGATCTAGTCTTTCATTCACCAGTGTTAGTCTCACATAAATTCAGTTCTAAAAAAATTACTTTGTATAGGTAGTGCGAGACATGACATTTTGATGTTATCCAACAATGCATATGCAGATGATGAATTTATCTTTCTCTTGGAATTTTTATACCCTTTGTTCATTTTGTTAGTCTTATCCTTCTGAGGGTGGCTTGGATAAATTTCAGTTTATATTTGTTGCTTTAAGTTTTCAATTCCTGTGACGCCTATTTTGTAACATCTTTTGTTAAAAGATTGCAGTTCCCCCATATAAAGGTAGGATATTTACAATAAATCCCTTTTCACAGAACTCTCAGACATTCAATATAGTACACACACATTACAATGCACTTGTATACCTGACACCCAGCACAAAAGTCACCAGATCAGATTAGTGGTTTATTATTTGGGGGGGGGGTCAGTTTGTTTTGTTTATTTGACAAGATCACTCCAGAGGTGATGCTTTGCAATGTCTCTTGAGTCTAATTTTTCAGCAAAAGTTAAAAATAAAACTATGAGGAATATAAAAAGATAAATCACTGTCCAGGAAAAACTACTTCTAATGAATCTAAGTAACAATGGACTGATATCAAGAATATATAAAGAACAAAAAATAAATTCAGAAAAACACAACCCCATAACAAATTACAGGCTAAAGACATGAATAGTCATTTACAAATGAAGAAACCTGAATGGTTAAAATGTCTGATAATAGGAGGTATTGGTAAAGAATATTGTTGATGGTTAGTAAATTGATATAAACATTTTTTAGAGTCATTTGTCAATAGTGTGTTCATATGAATATATAAATTTCCTATGACATATTAAATATACATATAAATCTGCTTTGGGATAAGTATCCTAATTATTGCATATGCGCACACAGAGGACTATATTAGAATGTTTTTAGTAGCATTGTGTGACACCACAAAGCTCGTAAGCAAAGTATCCTTATATGAAGAATGTGCTACAAGATGATCATATGTTAAATACATAGAAAATAAACTAACTGGCATTCCTGAAGTCAACATGGATGATTGCTTAACATAGCATCAATGGAAAGGTCACACCCTGGAAAAATGAAGTTTACAAACTTCCAAATGCTATGTATGGTTTATGGGCACATCCTTATATAGCAAAAGTCTAAAAATACAATGGGAATATTGAATACAAATTTCAGAAAACACTTTCCTTGAAAAGGTGGCAAAGGATGGAAGTATAATTAAGGAGAGGGGCAGAGGGTGGTTAAATAATACAGACAATGTGTAATTTCTTAATTTTAGTGTTGGTTACACAGATGCTTATTAAATTATTCTGTATATGTATTTGTGTACCTTAAATATTTTATAATGTCATGGCACATGGGGAATTCCCCTAGCCCACTTGGGTTCTTCTGAGGTTAGACAAGTGAACAAATTAACATCTGAAATATTAGTAGGAGAAAAAAGGCAAAATGTATGTATAGCTCTAATTCTTTTTTGTTGTTGTTGTTGTTGTTGTTATATTGCCACTAAATTACATAGCTGTCTAATTTGGGGAGTATAGCTTCACACCGCCATACGTTAACATGTGTATAGCTCTAATTCTAATGTAGAATGGGGTGAACCAAGGACATATATCTTGTGCTAAGGTACCTGAGGTATCAAGGAGCAAGAATAGGGGAGACTTCGCATGACAAAGAGGGAATGACTTCATATTTTATTCTGAGAGTAACAGGACAGGTTTCCCAGATAGAACCTGTTCACTGATAAAACCACACATCGATGATAAACTGCCAAGATACAGTCGGCTAGGTCATAAAAAGGAGGAGCAGTGATTGATTCCTTTGTCCATACCATAGGGAAAAGGATAGAAGCTTAGGGAGTGACTATCTCTCTACTACCTCAGTTGTTCTGTACTCAAAATAACCTGTATTCTTTAAGTAATGGTAACAGAATCCCCGAGGCCCACAGAGCCTTAAGGGATCTTAGTTTCCCATACCATGGTGATAGTTACTGGAAAAGTCCTACTCTGGGAATATTGATATTCTTTTTGGAGAGAAGGATCCCACAATAATAAATTAAAGCAAAAAAGTAAATTTACCAAAATGCATAATTTATGATATTAAACTAATAAAATTAAATGAATTAGAAATAAAATATGCATAAGAATCTCAGAGTGGTCATATTTACTTATATATATGAGCATAATTTATGAGAATTCCAAGATCAATAAATCCCAAATGATATACCAATAGATGCTAAAGATGATATATACTCTTATTAAACACCACAAGGATGATGTGAGGATAGCAGTGTCAGTACCAGAATCACTAATGGTTTTTAACCAGTTGTGAATTGTAGAACGCATTTGTCTTCAATTATTTTTTTCCAGTTCTAAAGCACAGATTGGAAAAAAGTACTTTTCCTAGTTATCTCTTTGATTTTAACTATATAATAGTCTGTATTTGCTTTCAAGCTGTGATTTTATTATATTCAGATATTATATGCAGATTTATTATATACAGATAATATTGGACTGAATCAGGTTTAAATTATATTTTTAATACCCTAGAGTCCAGTGGCAAAGGTCTCCTTGGTTTGTGTCTTTAGACCGTGGCCATTTTCTCCAGAGAATGCTGTCATATATATTGATATTGTGACAATCCTGATTGATCCAAATGTTACAGATGTTGACATTGCAATGACCCGGACTAATGGAAAAGGGGAGGTAATTGAGTTAAAGTGACTTAAGTTATCAATTAAAAATCAGCCACTTGTTTAGGAAGACACTGAAAAACTAGGGAGAGGCAAGGTCCTGACAATGTCTTTAAAAAGTGGCATAAATATAGGCACCAGCTTTGAGGCAATTTGAGATGCTTATGGCCTCCAGGTATGGTGTCCTGAAATTTGCTCCAAGATTTGGTGAGAACTGCCTGAGACCGTCGCCATAAGAAGTGACAATTCCTCTCCCCACCAATGCACAGATTCCAGGAGCTCTCTGGACAGGGAGGTTCGTTAACTTTCCCTTTTTGCTGCCAGTTGAATTGTATCCTTTTATTATTCTAATGTGGATTTCCCCAATAAGTTCATATTGTGGTTGTATGCATTTGGCTTGAATCCTGAGTGAAACCTTCCTGCTTGGTGGAAAGTAGCACTCTAGAGATCCCGAACTTGATAAAGCAACTGCTCCCTGCTAAAGGGTATCTACATGATCAGATATAAACATTGGGCCTCCCCTGGTGGTGCAGTGGTTGAGCTCAGCGCTGTGAAGCTGTCCGCAGCCTCTGTAGCGCCCGTTGGATCCCAGCCGGCTGGGCGAGGGTCCCACATGGCCCGGCAGACCTCTCCTGTCTCGCCCACTGCTCCCCTCAACAGTGTATTTCATCAGTCTGCCTGTTCTGTTCCCCACTCTGTCTCTGGTGAATCCTCTCACCTTCCCGCACATCTGGTCTGTACCCAGTTCTTGTATAAATAAATAAATCTTAAAAATATATATATAAGCATTCACATTTGGAAACATATCCAATTTGAGTTAAAACTGAGACAACAATGTTCACCTACTTCCTTATGATTCATCAAATCCCACAAGAAAATACCTTAAAAACAAACACTAACCATCCAAGTATAGCAGTAGTTATGCTTCTGATTTTTGAATATAGAACACAACTTTTCAGATTGTAGTTATTTATATATAATCACAGAACCAGTGGGCTACCTGCCAGGGCTTTGAAACCTGAAGTTTATTTTCTACCTTTCAATTAGGATTAAAAAAATAAACAGTTTAAGGTCTCCAAAAAGCAGAATCCCATAGACCTAGCAGCCCATTAGCATATTTAAAAGCTCTCAGGATAGGCGTTATTCTGATAATGACACTGTCAGCACACAGATGAGGCGTAGGTACTCAAGGACACACAAACTTGCATGCTCTAAAGGGATCTATCCATGCGCACAAGAACAAAGCATACTCTTAATACAAAAGAACTTTAATAGAATAACTGTGCACAGAGAGAAGATGGAATAAGTTTCCCAATAAAACAACCAAAGTTACCTATTCGCTCATGGGTATATGTCCAGCCAAAGAGGGTTGGACTGAAGCAGGGCTGCTGGGGTCTAAAAGCTTGCCACAAATCTAATGCACCTTCTGGTGGAGAACCATAAGAAGGAGGCAAAAGGGCCAGGCACGCCTGGGACAAGAGGAATAAAATCAAAGTACAAATCAAGATAACAGCTGCCACTGTCAGCCTCCCTATGGGTCTCTCATCCACAAATCTCTCACACAAGTCTCTTCCAAGTGTCTCTAAATGTCTCTACTCATGTCTCCTTCCACGTC